CCTTAAAAAAAAAGCCCGTCAAAAGTGTATAATATCTACCGGTAAATAATAATAAAAACCCTTGATTTATAACTTAACATCTCTGTCTCCTATTGATCTGAGTATATTATAAAGAATAGCCAGTTAATTGAAGCATTATAGCACAGGCCTTTGTCAGATGGTATATTACGCTGTTTTTTTTCTGCTTTGAATAGTTCTCTATTTTTCACCATACCTGTGTTTGCATCACTGATTCAATACAAAATGAATATTTTAAATGTTTAATCTTCTATATGTCACTTCCCATTTCCAAGATGCTATGCTGTTACATCGATAAGATGCCACCATAGGACAATGTGTGTTTTGATGTTTGTGTGCCGCTGGATTCATTGGTGCCATTTATTACGTTACATTACATGTTACTTGTTAGATGCTTTTATCCAAAGCGACTTACATACATTCAGTACTGTGGACAATCCCCACAGGAGCAATTTGGGGTGAAGTGTCTTGCGCAGGGACACAACGACATGCTGATTGCAGTGGGACTCGAACTTGCTACCCCCTGATTCGAAGTACAGCCCTCTATCCACTGAGCCACAGCCGCCTTTGACATGACAGGTGTGTCACTAAAACAATTATTTTTGCTGTTAAGCTGGTTGTGTTGTCTTAAAGACTTTCTGCTGCATGATTGGTGTTTTACTTATTAGACGAGTACTATATGATGGACACGAAAGTCCAAAATCTGGAATTGCGCCATCCTGTGGTTAAATGCAGGACATACATGATCTCACAGGTATTAGTGTAATCCTGATCTTGTAAATCGCCTGTCGCCTGGCCCCCAGCAAGCCTTTTTCCAACTGAATAAAATGAGGTCTTGTCTCATTAAATCATGCCGATGTATTTGTTTAATTTTGACTTTGCCTTTACATCTAATGGAGATCACAGGGCTGTGCGGCATGTACAAACGCTTGTTTCCGTTGCTCGCCTACAATATAACATTTTCATACAACGACAAAATGCACAAAACGAAAAGGGATCTTTTTCGGAACTTGGGCACATTTGCAAACACCGATGGTACTCTTCGTTTGCTGGAGATCGGTTGCGGCAGCGGGGCAAACTTCAGGTTTTACCCGTACGGCTGCACGGTGATCTGCACCGACCCCAACCCGCACTTCGAGAAGTACCTGCGGATGAGCATGGAGGCGAACAAGCATTTGACATATGAAACGTTTATGGTCGTCTCTGGGGAGGACATGGAGAAGGTGGAAGACGGGTCGGTGGACGTGGTGGTCTGCACCCTGGTCCTCTGCTCGGTCAGAAACGTGCACGAAGTGCTGCAGGAGGTGCGACGCATCCTCAAACCTGTGAGTGTGCTGCATGATATATTTTCCTAGTGACTTCACACACTTTTAAAGTGGTAGGCCTACATGGCTTGGTTATTAACCTTTTATGGAGTCATGGGGAACCGGCCATTGTGCAGTGTTATACTGTGTACTGCCGCCAAGTTTCTATTGATTGATACATTTAATTTCGAACAAGTCAAATAAATAATATTTTTTTAAGTAGCTTTCATCCCTTTACACCAAAGCAAAAGAAGCAAGTGTGTGACTTGTCGGGAAACCCCCTCAAGGGGGATCTTGGCTCTATGAAACCTGATGTACTTATATGATTCTGTATTCTTCAAGTTTGTATCTTCCTGGTTGAATGCACTTATTGTAAGTCGCTTTGGATAAAAGCATCAGCTAAATGCAATGTAATGTAATGATCTTGAAATCCACAAGCCAGTGGCAAGTGGACACAACTTTTATTTTCCAACACTGATGTGGGGTCACTTGTCAATCCTTGCAGATAGCTATTTTTGACGGTTATCATTTATTTGCATTATACCTTTAAATGAACACATTTGCTTTGTATTTTCAACATTGGGAGGCTGCTTTGAAAGATTATCATATTTAAAAATAAATCACATCTTTTTTTTGTTTTTTGTTTAACCTTTGAGATACAATCTCAGCCAGTTGGAAAATGACAGTCACTGTTATTGCAAAGTTGCAGAACCCGTTTTGATTAATGGGGCTCTTTCTTGCAGGGAGGAGCCTTCTACTTTCTGGAGCATGTTGAGTCAGATCCTTCCTCCTGGACATTTTTCTTCCAGCATGTGTTTGAGCCCCTGTGGTACTATCTTGGAGATGGATGCATGATAACTAAAAAAACATGGAGAGACATAGAGGCAGCTGGTTTTTCTGAACTTCACTTAAAACACATCGAGGCTCCAAAGGTTTCACGGATGATAAGACCACATATCATGGGATACTCCATTAAATGATTGCAGGAAGGAATGGATTTATGTGCATCATATACACAAGCTTGAGGTTTATGTTTTTTTAATTTCAGCATATTCTTCATTTACATTTTTACAAATTGAGTGTGCCGTTATTACGAAGATGTTTAAATCGAACCATTTTAATTTCCACAGTACAAAAACACACTAGTCAAACTGCATTTATTGAGTGAAAATAGATTTATTTACTCAGAATCAGCAACATTTCATACACAGTTTGTTCTCCTTCCTTACCTCTCCCAAGATGAACATAATAAATATTACCTGGACACTGTGCTTTTTTCCCTGATTGTCTAAGTAACTGCCAGAAACAACCAAACAAACCTCAGTCATTATTTTTGTTACCCTTTATATTCCATTGCACAAAAATAAGGAATGACCATTGTAACATCTCCTTACAGGGAAATGAGGGGAATTGCCGTTTCACAATATAAACAGTAAATTATGTCTGTGTGGTAAATATACAGTCAACATTCTGCAGATGCTGTTCGATTATTTTAAAAATAAAAAAAACTCCAACAGCAACATTTTTAAAAACATAAGAAGAAGAGGAGCAGGATACAAACTGAGACTCAAAGTTAAAGCTCACAATTTCAAACCTCCCATATTAAAAATGTACACAACTATAAATGTTATAGCATTAGCAAATTTTTATATAAAAAAACAGCAGGGGGAAAAATGTTTTTGAGTATATTTTACTGCCATCACAAGTCACTTTTATATCAAACAGAGTAAAAAAACTGGAGGATGTCAGCCTGAATCGAAGTGTTCCCAGAAACCCAGTTCATGTCCAAATGTCTGAGCTGTGCTGCTCCCACATTATGTCCCAATCCTCAACCTCTACTCAGACAGGTTATCCTGTTTTAACACAATAAAGGTCCTTTAATGTTTTTAGTTCTTCAATCAGGGTCTTGTTTTGGTTTTCAAGAACAGCAACGCGGTTTTCGAGGCATTTAACATATTCCTTTTTCTTCCGCCGACATTCACGGGCTGCCTCTCTGAAAGAGGGACAGAAATATGCAATTAGTCTAACTGAAAAAATTATGCACCTACAGTAGGGATGCATTTAACTTATTTTAAAACTATAGTTTATTAACACCTCAGGGTTTAGAGAGCATATTTCTCTCTGGTAAAGTACATCAGAAAAGTTGTATTACAAATTGCGATTCCTGTAAACTGAAAAAACCTCCACAACATCTATTGCTCAACAGTCAGTGTAATGTGCTTGTTCCTCTTTTTCTCAGGGTTTAAGGAATTTGGCTTTGTATTAACGGCTGATAATGTAAAAGGTACCTTTTCCATTATAGGTCAAATTATTTATCATCCTGATTTATATGGTGCAGACCTATCCTAGAGCAGGGGTTCCCAAAGTGGGGGTCGCGAGATGATTACAAAAGAAAAATGGAAAAAAAATAATAATAAAAGAAATTTTATTAATTTTTTTAATATATTTTTTAATTATTAATAATAACGTTTGCATAGACATTTTCAGGGGTGGACTAGCCATCTGTATAATTTCCCCGCAACGAGGCTCCCCCTTTGACAATCCACTAGCGCAGTGTTTCTCAAACTTTTTCATACCAAGGACCACTTAACCAATAAAAAACACTCATGGACCACCTAACTCCACAAATATCCAAAAACAATAGGCCTGCTTACCCATTCCAACAGTATATAACAAATTACAGCCTAATAATGACAGCTTAACCTTCTCTATATCGCCTCGTTCACACATTAAATCAACAATACAAATACAACTACAGATTGTATAAGCATTTAGTTCAAATGCGATTTAAAATCCTCTCAGGTTTTACACCTCTTATTATGAAATGTAGACTACATTTATTATGTAGTATTATTTTAAACACAAGTTTATGTCCGAGCCAACAGACTCACAGATTGTTGGCTACTGAGAGATATGCAAAATACACCGCATGTAGTACGACACAAACCTCCGCTGTGGATTTTCAAAACAAAATACAATAAAACTATGGTCGCAGGCCCAAGTTTAACTCTCTGAGGCCTGCATGGTCTGTCTACAAAACAAAAATAAAAAAACGTTTATGCAGCCCCAACAACAGCCTCTGATCATCAACAGACTTCATGCAATGCTTCATCAGATGCATATATTAGATAACAATCTCTATCTCACTCCTAACACATCTAAATCTACAGCATGGATACATGTTCATAAAATACATCCATTGTTTGTTCTATATGCTTCTTGAAATCCTAAAAAACACATCGTTTTTCTAGAACAGATTACAAATCGCCTGAAAATGGTACAAACAAGTGGCAACATGCTTGATGGAGGTGTTGCGCTGGGCTATATCATGCAATCGAAAGTGAAACTTAAGCTCGCTCCATTGCGGAGAAATTCCCGCGAGAGTGCGGAAAACTGAAATTAATTCACTAGTCATAAATGAGTCGGTTGGGTTCTTGAGGTGTGGTTACAGCAATTGTGCTTGGTTGGCGTGGCCTGGGTCTGGTGGTGGGGCCCAATGTGATGTCTTTTCATGGGGCCCAAAATCCCTGGCGGCGCCCCTGCAAACAACCAAATGCATGCAGGAATGGACCCTGTAGCTACTGAACTTAAAAACCTTACACGTGTAAGACATTTTGATAAGCTTGCAGAGTACAGTTAGCTTAACTTGCTTTTTCACTAAGCGGCCTGACGTCGGAC